AAAAAAAAAAATACTCAGAAAGCCTGACACTAACTAGTTCCATGTAAATCATTCTAACTGATGAGATGCCAGAAAAATCATCTTTTACATTCCTGCAGCTCAAAAAAGAACTTACAAACCCCATGCTTAGTGGACATACAGATTACAACGAGACTATGTCTTATCAGGCTCTGTATCTCTGAATTCTGGAGGACCGCTAGTGCCTTAAAGCAGGTGCTCAATTATTAGTCGATGCTGACTCCTGTTCAAGTATTTCTTAAAACAATTCTCTATCCAAAAAATTATGCCATTAAAAAGTTACTTACCACATAGAGCTGTTTCCACATGGTTCCCCAGTCTCTTAATGTTGATGTCATTTCTGTTATAACAGAGTCTTCAGTGGGAATAACCATTTCAAATTGTCTGTGAAATTAAAAGAGAAAAACAAAGTCCACATGCAATTATCACAGGTAACATTTTTCTCTGAAAGACAAAACTGGGAAAGGAAACTGCCTGTTATTTTGGGTTCTGCAGACAGTAACGAGGATCTGATTAAAGACCCGTGTGAGGAATGCTATGTGGGCTACAGAGTACAATACCAAGAGGACCAGCCACTTCATCCACATCAAGTTTGAGGAGTGTGATGAGAAGCAGTAATATCAGAAGACTTCTGCTCCAGCCACAATGTGACCACTAAAGAACAACTCATTTAACCTCCCAAGCCCAAAAGCCTTTATGCAACATGAGGTCACCGAGCCTGCCTAAACTATGAGATAGCTTTTGCTTTTCAAGCACTACGACCATAGGACTCAAAGGGAGTAACAGACTTGTTCCATGATCAGGATATTATGGCTGCAAACATCCAAACTAACTTCGTGTTAGAAGTATCTAGACACCAAGGTACAGATTAAACACTCACTTGATCTTATTAACACTTCATTTTTATTATTTATAAATGGGAACAAGAAAAACAATTAGTCTATTAGTAATGTTAGCATGCATCATTGAACTTAAAAGCTTTTGTGATCACAGATGTTCGAATATCCATTGTGCAATATTCCTCTCTCCGATTAGGCTCATATATCCTTCCTGTTTCTTCTCTAAAAATGAAACATTATACTTGGAGAACATTCATACCAACACCTCCTAGGGTATGTAAGTGGTCCTGATATTGAGGAGATACATGAAGCTATGGACAAAAAGAAAACCCAGATTTCCTTTATCCTCCATGTCTATCTTTGATGTACAACAACCTTTTTCCTCATCTCGAATTTCTTTTTTCAAATTCTTTTCAGTTAGTGTGCAGGTTAAAAATGCTTAAGTGGCTATTATTACTACAACTTCTCAAAAGAATCCTACCAGCTATTTAATGGGAAATATTTTCTTAACATTTGAGTATGTATTTTTCAAGGACAATATCTAATATGTACAAGGTAATAGCATTTTAGACACTGAACCAGGTTGTCTAGATGATCAAGGGAAAATTACTTCTTAGCATGAGGCTAATAACTGCTCTGTAGTTCTTCTGTGATGCTATATCCAAAGGGTGTATAATTGTCTTTTGTAAAGTCTTCTTGACAGCAAGTAAGAGAACTAAAATCTTCACCAAGAGAGCATGATTTCCTCATTTCATAGTGCTGCTAAAATACTTGCTCTGTGAATATCTCCCTTCTTTCTAGAGCTTAAACACAGCTGAAAATGTAAAAGTAGGATTTAAAACTAGAAATAAGAGTAAACAGTAGTATATGAACTGCGACACACACAGAACCTTTTATTAAGCCTACGTGTGACATTTTCAAATGGTAGTGCCTTTATTTTGCTTTTGAAGCAGCTGTTGGAATTTAAATGATGAATATTTGGAGACAGAGATTATAAAATGATCAGATGTAAGGTCAAGAAGGGAACAATGAATTTCCAGGACAACTCAACAACCTACTTAACATTTAAAAAGTGGCATGACCTCAAGCAGCAATTAAACACTATAGAAGTGGCCTCGTTGTTCATAAACCATAATTCAATTTAAGGACCCCCATTAGCGCGACAATGCTCTGAAGACCAAGGAACGAACAAAAAGGCAATCCAATGTGTGAGAAGTTGATTTGAGGTTTGTTCAGCCAAAATGTAAATTTTCAAGAAGCTTTATAAAATCGCCGATTTTGGCGAGGCAGTTGTTTCCTCTTAATTATATCAAAAGCAAAGTCAACGTTCAAACAGTTGTAAGTAGTGGCCCCTGAAATTACATTTTGTTCAGTTATTCTTAGATATACTTTATTAGAGTATAAGTATATAAGATATACTTATTCTGAGCTATACTTCATCCTGGTGGGCCATCAGGCTGCTGATCTTAAAATAAGAGAGGTTAACATCAAAATCCCAAAGAAGTTTCTCTTTGGGAAAGCAATCATCTGGTAATATGTGTTCTCAAATGTTCTCAGGGTCAAGTTTTTCTTCCAGTTAATGGTCCTAGAATCTAGAGTCTCAATCAATTCCAATAAATTTTTTTTCTTTTTAAGAAAATAAATTTGGGTTCTACCCTCAACGTTCTCCTGTTACTTAATGTTCATGATGCCCTGTGTCACATGGGGAACCACCAACGAAGTCTTAAACTTACACAACCTAATTTTGAGACATCTTTAGCCTTATTTAAACTTCCTCGGGCTCAAGGAAGGGGACCAGATATGCACCAGTTACTGCCTAGGACAAAAATAAATAAATAAAAGAAGGTACTTATTTTGATAATGACCCACCCCAATCTGCTGTGAGAGGGAGGACTTCCACTGGGTGGAATGACGCTTGACCTCATCTTTGCTAGCATCCTCTATTTCCCTTGCTCGGGGTGTACGGTGGGGGCTGAGTGGCCCTTTGCTCTGCAGAGTTAATGGGGTAGGGCCGGGCTTGGGACAACGGCAGCAAAGAGAAGTGGTTGCACGGGTCTACCCAGGTGGACACTGTAAGGGTTAGGGTAGAGGCCCTGGGGTTTCCACACTGTCCAGCCCAGATCACTAGAGCAGAAAGGTCAGAACAAAGAGTGAGCCTAAGTATTTTCTAGAGTTTCCTCTGGTTTACTTGAGGGGAGTTGGACAGTGTCAGAGTAAGCCTGGTAGGAGAAACACCAAAAGGACTGATAACTCTACTTAATTCATTTCTGGTGGGGTGCAGCTGCACAACCTTCCCAAAGGACACACATTTACTAATAACAGTAGCAGCAGTGGTAATTATTCATATCAGTATGTTTTTAATCTACTATTTTAAATAATTAGTACTGTACTGCTAGTGATAGTAATATTGCTTAAAGTAGCACGTGTGTGTGTGTGCGTGTGTGTGTACACAGTATAAGGATCTCCTACAGTTTTATCTATATAGGTAGCTCTCAGGGTATTTATTCCATAGACTCTCACCCACCTGTAGAAGTTATTTCAACGAACTAAAATTAATACTTTGCCTTTATAGACAAGGGATATAAAAATCATCCATTTAAATAGCATCCTTGGGACTTTTTTGGTAAAACTCAAGTTTGATGATCTCATTTACTACGATTTAAAATGTGCTTTAGTCATTCAAATAAACTGCTATTTTTTTTCTGTTTGAAGTAAAATGTAATTTTTATGGCTGAATCTGCATTGTTTCTTCGGTCATAAAATGACAATCGTTCAATGGTCCAGCGCGTATTCCTTGTGACACTGGCGGCGAATGTTTGGGTCCAAATCCGTGACCCACTGATAATGAATGATCTGCTCATGATAACCACTTAAATAAGCAAGTTCTACTGTTTCATACTATGATATTTTATTTGAATGATCTGTTATCCTGACAGCTACTTCAAGTCCTTTTGGAAATAGACTGGAAAAACTTCTAAAATGTATGAGAAATCTTAGGTGATCAATGAGCTCAATCAAAGAACAGAAAAGCCATTCCCTAAAATAGAAGAGTGGCTTTGTGAAGTGGTCACACAAGGATACGGTACGATCCCCAATTAGGAAAAAACAGTCCGATTTGGCTGCTTATAATCAGTGGTAAATCTCGGAAATTCCTGGGGTTTGAGACATGACTCAGCACTCCATGGCTTGGCTGCCATGCTTCTCTATATAGCAGGAAACCAAAAAGAACCAACTCCCTCCTGCTTAAGATTAGTCTGATTCCATGATCTGGGGACCATGAGAGACCTCTGATGCCCTAGGTTCTCCTCTAGTCCAGCACATGCAGACGTAGGGTATTACATTTTCTCCACCAACTGTCTTAGTGAAATCCACCTTTATCAAACCACACAGACAATGGCAGGATCTCCTGTAGTTCATCTGTCAAGACGATTACTAAGCCTTTCAAATTCTCAAAAAAGCAATGGTTCTGTGAAAATCCTCTCACATTAATAAAACTCATTTCTTACCCTTTGTTCTTCACACAGGCATTTTTCAAGTGAATGTAGCTGGAAGGAAAGATACCCTGCGGGAGAAAACAGGAGGTTTTGGTGCCAGATGACTGGTAAGGCAAGGGTGCTTTCACAAGTCATACACGTAACATACAGTCATACAACCATGACAGTTCCAGGAACAGGGAAAAACAACATCTCTACCGCACTGGATCCATTCCTTTTATTTCCTACCATTCACTAGTTTACAAATTCAGGGATTCTCGAATATAAATATAATCAAAAAAACTAAATCTCACCCAAAAGCATATTCTTTATAAAACAGAAAAATTTTAAATTTTCAGGAATTCTGCATAGAATAGAAAGCATGTTACACTGAAGAATAATTTTTTAAAATATTGCATAGTTTTTTAATATTGCATTAATTTTTGTTTGTTTTGGTAGTTGTTCCTTTCCTTCTCCCTAAAACACTCGTGTCTTTTTTAAAATATACACTAAAAAAAAAAAAAATACCACTATGAATTGGGAGACAATACATATATTATGTGTTATGGAAAATCTTTGATGAAAACACAGCAGCAATTAATCACCAGGCTGCATTCTGATGGAACAAAAATTAAACAAAAGACAGCATGCTAGCTTGAAGCTTTTTATTGTAGAGAAAAGATAGGGCAAGGAAATTGTTCCTTTGTTCTAAATGGGAAGTTGAAAGAAACAACATAAAAAAAAATTAGCATCAATTTTATTGTCCATTAAATGACAATATCCTCTGAATGATTTTTGATGTATCATCAAATGACAAATTCAATTAAATATTTAGGAAAGCAAATGTCATTTGGATACATTATTACCATTGTGGATCCAAGGATAACATAAAATTTAATAAGCAAATTCTGTACATACAACAGTAGTAAATAGACACACGTTTAAAAATATATTTTTTCTTCAAAATTTAACTCAATATGGTAGGATTAACAAACAGAGTAATTATAATTCATAAGAAAAAGTCAGAACTTGAGGTTAGAAGAGTGGCAGAAATAAGCCATAATATATTTTTTCAAAATTATTCCAAATGAATAATTAAGTACTGAAGCTACATTTGCATGTGCCTTGCAGATGTCCAAAAATAACTTTAAGCAAGGGCTAAAGTATTTTAAAAAATTAAATTTCTACATTCTTTTGTTCCTCAGGCTCTCTTTAGAATGACCAAAAATAAATGAAATACAGTTATTAAACATAGCTGGATGATCCAGAAAAAGGTATATTTAAGCAGAAAGGCAGGCAGAAGAATTTAGACTACTTACATTACATTCTGAGAATAAGCAATGATACAGTTTCTTATCTATAATCCTAATAAAGCCAGAATTAAACCAAGTAATGAACATGACATGCAAGAGAATATTACAGAATGTGGGAGGTATGGATGAAAGTTGGAGAGATTAGAATACAGTAGACAAACACAGATAATAAATAGTAAGGATGAGTGTCAAAGTCATAAAATATACAAATGAAAGGTAAAACAAAAATCATACTACTTCCTACTGTAATTCCTGAGGATGTATATGAAGATATAAAGGATAATGAGTCTTAATTTCTGTCTGGAATAGTAAGAACAGGGAGATCTTTATAATATGGCTTCCCCATGTTTCACCTGCCCAAACCCCAAAGGGAATCTTATTAAGCTGCTGAAATCCACGTGTTTCTCTACACCACTCTTTTACAAATGACACCACAGAAAACTCCAAGATTAAATACCTCTATTCAATTTTTCTTTTGGAATATCTATTTCCCCTGCTTGAATTTTAATTTCACTCTCTGCTAAACTAACACTTCAAAAAGATTTTGTTTATATATAATGAGCTTATTAAGGTCTTCTCAGTACAAACTGCAAGAGCTACGTAAGATTATCATTTGAGTAGCATGTCTTAACGATAATCCAAGTTCAAAGGAATTTCCAAAATTATGAAAATCTGTATTGCCATTTGGCATTTCAACTAAGAGTCCCAACTGTAATTTCAATTATAAAATAACTTTAAAAATATCCCATAATTATGATTATGAGTAATATTTTTTATTACCTTGACATTTGGGTTTTTTAAGGCAAATCCTCTGTACCAGCCTGTGGAGAAAAAAATCATGGTCATTATTTTGATAAACCACTGTAGTATTTTAAAGAAAAATGATTATAAATAAATCTGTCCTTTACTGATGGAATTTTACCCTATAAATATTCTGTGTATGAACAAGATGGAAGTTGGATTGGGCTAGACTATAGCTCAAGTGACTACTAGTTTGTGTTCTATTAATAAACTGTTTAAAAAATTGTAATGGAAATTTATATGAAAAATAGAAACACACATAATGGAAGTACAGGGCTTGGAATCAGAGTATTGGGCTTAAATTCTGGCTTTTCTACTTATCAGATTATTTTATTTTGGGCAAGTTAATTTATGTGAGCATAGTTTCTCCACATTTTATAAAAGGCTACATTATGTCTTAGGGAAATTCAAGAATCTGCACAAGATTTAATATGTTTCCAATTTCTCTTTGCCTGACTACAAGGCCCAGACCCTATCACCAAAGCATAGGTAGGGCTCAGCCAACAGTCACAGAGTAAATTTGCACATCCTTAAGCCCATCATCTAGGGTTAGGATCAGTCTGATAGCATAAGAAGAGGGAAATCAGGTATCATCCATCAAGAAAAGTGATGGGTACTCTTATCAGCAAAATGTCCTACCGCCTGAGCTCACCCTAACTTTCATTCTGTAGAATGCCTATGAATCAACCTCCAAGCAACTCTGAATCAAAATTTTACAGCACTATCCTGAAAGAAGACTGTATCTTTTTATAGTTTAAAGCAAGTATAAGGTATATATATGAAAATGTATAGCAAATAAATACCCCCTATAAATGTATTATTTTCAACTTACAGTTTCTTCAAGCATAGAACCATTTTGTTTATTGGTAAGAAATTACCATGTAACAAATATTTTGTTGAATTGGACTTTTTTGATTAATTGAATTTTTAAAAAGAAATATTTGAACATTGTATTTAAATATTAAATATTTATATAAAATATTATATTTATACAAAAATCTATATAAATATTAAATATATTTAATTTTTTTTGTTCCTTATAAGATATATTGTAAAATGCCATACCTACCAGCTTTAAAATCAGTCTGAAGAAAGCAAAATGAATTGAGCAGAAACTATCTCAGGATTAATAAGATCCCTTAAAGACATATCCAAGAAATATATCCATTCTTAAATAATTATTTTAACAGAAACCAAAACTTTTTGAGAACTGCAAAAGTCTCATAGAGAGGTCTCTGTCAAAGGTTTTTAGGTTACAGAACAGCTTCCATTAGTTATGGAGCCCATTTTCATGCACCAATTCAAAACAGATTTTATATTTATCTGTATACAAAGTAAAAATAGACAAAATGCATCTGACAATAATATGGAAGACCTCATTATATCTTTAAAGATATCATTTACAGTACACAGAATAAATGTCCATGTATCACCACCATTTAATGCGAGGTTCTAAGTAAATATAACAGTTCTGTTTGGAGGAACACAGTTTAATGAATCTTGACACGACAGAATGTTATCATATTATAAGTTCTTATTAAGAACAACATTTCAGGAGGAAAATGGGTGGTTTTGGGGCTTTAAAATGTGGTCACCTTGTCAACGAGGAAAAAAATAGTCATTTCAACTGGGATCTTTTTAAATACGAGAGCTTAAGGGTGTTTCGTGGAACAGGAATGGAAACGTTTGACAACATATTAAGTATTTGATTTAATGAGTTACATGCTGCATAAATTAATAAAGTTCTTACAATATATTCCACTAACATTTTACATGCATTGAATAACTTTAGTTCAAGTCTGGGGGTGGCAGGGAAGAAGACTGCCGACTAGAGCAGAGTTGGCCTTGGCAGGAGTCCTCCCCAAGGCATCTGGTTACCTAACCTTGGAGAAGCCATTTCTGCCCTGGACCTCTGTTTCTTCCTGTCCTGGGGGACCTACTAGACCCTTGAGATTCTGAGAAAGACCTTCTAGTTTGGCACAGAGTTATGAATTCCCACAAATACAGTAGCCTCAACTGCTTTCTATGGTGGCATCCAGTGAATATAAGGAAATAATATTAGGAAAAATATATCAGCTTAAAAACAGCAAATGATGCCTTTCCATAAGCCGAACACTGAATACGCAAGAAGCGAGCTTTGTCAAAAATGGTTCACTGTGAGCACTGGAAAAATCCCAGAAATTAATAGGACAGAAGGTGTAAACATCATGAACTATCCAGTGGTGAGGAGGTTGGTTACACAACCTCAAACAATCATCATCAGCCCACTTACCATCACACTTTTCCAGGATCTGAACTGTATCTCCAATTTCCAATGACAGGCCATACGGGACAGTTCCTCGAAAACTGGCAATAACTGTAAGACATGTTACAGAATATATGAAGATAATTGTATCAGTTACAGCCAGTTATACTGCTTACTATTATATGTTACTGACCAGGAAAAACGAATGTGAAGAAGAAGTACACTTTGAGAGCTAAAACCTGCTGTCATATTTAAATTTTACAGATTTTTGAAGAGAGCCAATCTTTAAGTTTATATACGTTGCCAACTTCTAGGTCAAATAAGTGTTATAAATATGAATTCTAAAGATATGGAATCTGCTAAAATAATACAAAATATCAAGAGTATTACTCAATAACCTATGTGACAAGGTTACTTCCTGATGAGCCTTTGTCACTTACTGCTATATTCACTCTTCATCCAGATTCCTTGCCCACAGTGGTTACTCAATAAATATGTGTTCACTAACAAATGATGAATACATATCCTACTTGCTGTTCAGCTTGGTATACTTTTCTATTATGTTGCTTGAAGGAGATTTCTTTTTCCTAGACTGTAAGCTCCTCAAGAGAAGAGACTGCATCTATTTACTTGCTAATATGTCCCCAGGGCTTAGCCAAGTATGTGGCATAAAAGCAGTCTTCTTGAGTAGTAATCAAGAGTAACATTTTATTTAGTCATGACTAGACTCCTCCCCTAGGATTAAACACACAGCCACCACGACAATTCCCATATGCCTTAACTCTCAGAATAGGGTGTGTGTGTCCAGGGGTGGGGGTAGGGTGTCACCATTTAGCCTTACCTAGTGGTTATAGACTAACTGGTTTCTGAAACATTTCACAGGGCTGGGCAGGACTAGGATGTTAATACCAGGGAAAGTGTGTGTAGGTTAGTCATCTCTGGGTACCTCAAGGAGTTACAGAGAGAATGAAGCACAATGATTCTCCCCAGGAGAGTAATGCCTGAGTCAAAAAGGAGACAAGGATGGAGAAATAACAAAAATGCACCTCAATACATGAAAAAAGAAGAGACATCTCTGGCTCTATACAGTACACTGTAATCAACTTGCAATTCACATTCAAAGAAAAATGATAGTGAACGCTTTGAGCGATTTTTAAAAGACCAAAACTTTGGAAGTGAATTTTATAATCCTGTCTCAGATCGTGAGGTTTAGATACAACCCCAATCCCCAAAATAAATTATTGCTACTGTTGTGAATGTATTTTAAAAGCTTGAAGAAACACATGAATCTGTCAAAAATCAGGACATGCCAATAAATAATGGGCTTTTAGAGAGGTCTAAAGCCCTTTGATAATCTCAAAACAAAATTAACAGTAGAGATCAAAACACAGGACAGAAAACATAACCCACAGTACATGAGATGGATGAAAATAACTGTACAGTAACCAAGTTAGAACATTTTAGACAAGCACTAATTCATGATGTCATTCTCTAACTATAACCATAAATACCATATAACCTCATATTGATGTGCTAGAAGATGTTCGCTCAAAAAATAATCCAAGGTCTGTGTATCTTGACAGATTATCTCAAATAACTTTCAGAGAACTCTTCTTCTAAGAGATCACAACTGAACAGACACTAGACTGATTACAGAGCAAGCTTGCACCCAGAATTGCCTTTCTACATTCATGAAGTCACCTTGACTGCTCACAAGCCTAGTGGTTCCACACTGCTCCTCTTCGAGATCTAAGTGCATGGACTCCCCAACACAGCTCTCTATATAGCTCTGACCACTCATAAATGCCCTGGTAACTCCCAAGGCTGCATGTTCTCTCCTAGCCCTCATCACCTCCTTGAATACAGTAGTACCATTCATGGACTTCATTTCCTCTTCCTCCCTTCATTCTTCAGCCCACTCAATCCAGCCTTCATTGTGCTCTGAAATCACTCTCGTGAAGTCACCATCCCCCTCACTGTGACCACATGCATATCACTTTCAGGAGTCTATCTTCTCTTGAACCGTGTCTCTCATACTCCCCAGCCTTGTTCTGCAGACCTTCTTTTCTTAGCCCTGTTCTTAAATGTTGGTGTCATCCAGCATTCTATGCCCAAGATGCCGAAGGGTCAAGGCTGGGGAGCAGGACAATAGCATCAAACTTGGCATCATGAGACATGAGTTTGAGCCCAGGTCTTACCAGTTATTAGCTGTGTGACTTTAGTCAGGATACCTCTCAAAATCTGCATCACCTCGTCAGGCAAATGGGGGTAACAATAAAAGAACTGCAAAAAGGTACTAGAGGATTAAATAAGGTGCCTTTTGGAAATAACTCTCTACACTCTCTGGGACATTCTAGTCACTTAATAAATACCTCAGTTATTTAAAGTGTACTTTTTCCTTTCTATCCATATACATTCTTCCTCTTTGGAGAGAGTTCCAAGACTTCTAGAATCACCTGTTGACAAGTGGTTTGCCAAGTCTCTCTCCAGTTCTGATCTGTGCCCTGAGAATCTGACACAAACTTGCAACTTGTGTATCTCTGTTCAGATGTCTAAGCACCTAAAACTTAGCATAACTCCAGCTGAACCTGTTATCTCAACTCATGCTCTAACCAAATCAAGCTATTTTCTCTCTCCCAATCACGTATTCTGAAATGTTAGTCTAAAGTATTATTCTATTGACAGTCCTGCTTTATCCTGCTATTACTAAGTGGATTTCTCTGTATCCCTCCACAGGGCCACTGTGAGGCCTTCTAGGTGTCTCCCAGATCGTCCTTCCTCAACACAATGTCCATGATGCCCCTAGTTACCTTTGATTCTGTCACCTTTAGGCTTAAGGTTTTGTGGGGGTTTTTTGTTGTTTTTGTACGTGTTTTTCAGTTTCTGTATGTAGCATCAGGATAATTTTTATATTTCTTCCATTAGATTTCTATTTCTTTTGTACTAAAAGGTGATTAAATATATTGTGCAGTATTGGACAAGAGCTTGATCTAACTGTTTTCCTCTTATTTCATGCTGCCATTTGGCTCATACAATCCTTAGGTGTCTCCAAACCAGATCCTCCTCCACTGTTCCCAATTCTATCGAATGCTAGCACTGTCTATCAACTGGAAAGGCCAGGAACCCAGGGGTCATCAGATCCTCCTCCACTGTTCCCAATCTATCGAATGCTAGCACTGTCCATCTACTGGAAAGGCCAGGAACTCAGGGGTCATGCATTGGCCCCCTCATCCACATATCCAATCCCTCACCACATCACAATCTTAACTCAGAAGTATCCCCCAAAGGCACCTTTTCTCAATAATTCTGCTCCCACCACTCTCCAAGCCTTGCTTGGCCTTCTCCCATGGTCTCCTAACAGGTCCATGTTCAGATACTCAGTATCCTCCCCAATCCCTTTCTCACATGACAGTTAAAAAGGCCATTTCAAAATGCACATGTGATGATGTCATCCTCCTTCTAAATATCTCAGAGCTCTGAGAATGATATCGAAATCAGTACCACAGCCTAGAAGGTCCTGCCCTTCTTAACCCTGACTTTCTGTACTCCAGCTACAAAGACCTTCTGTCAATACTTTGGTTACCATACTCCATCATAAACTGGACTCTGCCCATGGCTGACTTCCTGCAAAGACTCTTCCTTTCACTCCTCACCAAGTGAGGCCATATTCCTCCTACAGATATGAGCTGAGTGGTCAGTCACTTCTAGGGCAGCCTTCCTTGATGCACATCCCCTCATCACAACTACATGCACTCGTAACAACATGGACTACCCAACCACACTCATTTGTGCACATTTTTGAATGATGTCTCCTTCAATAAACCATTAAGTTCCACAAATTTAAGGACTGTGTTGGTTTTAGCTCCTCATTGTATACCCAATTCAGTACAGAGCTTGGTACTCAATATGAGCTCAGTAAATCATCACTGAGGGAATGAATGAGGGGTGTGGTCATTATTGCTAAATACTCTGATCTTAAAGAGGCAGGTTCCTTATTAGTGCCAATACTATTTTTAGAGGGTACTCAAAATTTTAAGATCCAAACTGTATTACCTATGAAAACTCATGCTTTCATAGGAGTTGCTGAAACTGGAATGACAATTTGTCTGGGTTATAACTGTGTATCATCTCATTTCTTATCCTAGCAGTCTATATGGGTGAATGCTGATTTTACTCATCAGCTATATAATATTTGAAAACAAATAAAAGCATGCTAGTAAGTTCTCAATCTCACTGGGCTTCAGATGCCTCCTCTATAAAACGAGGTAGACAAGATAACCTCTGCTCAGTCATACCCCAAATAACAGCAAGCTCTCTCTTGCAGCCCTCAGTGCCTTTATACGTATTATTCCCTTTCGGGGAGTTGCCTACCCACCACTTATACACTGGGAACTACAAGTAGTCTTAGTTTGAGTTCTAGCTCCAAGGTTAACTCTTTTGATTTCCTGATACTATCCTTTTCCTTTCCTCATCCTTGCTTCAAGTGGAATCAATTATTCTTTCATCTGTGCTCCCAGGGTACTCTGACCACACCTTAAATAGGGTAAGGCACCATATAATATTATACCACTTTATTCATCTGTGTCTACTTGAGAATATGAACTATTTCTAATTCACCTTCAAGACCCAGTATATGAGTGTCTGAGTAGAGGAATGGACAATGAACACACACATGGAATAAATAAAGCCACTTAAAAATGGCATCCAGGTTTTAGAGATTCACAGAATGTTAGGGACACCTCTTATAGCCGAGGACACCTAAAAGTTAGGTATTAAACTGCAGATCACATTAGAGAGTTGCACTTTTTCAAGATATGGTTCAGGCATGACTTTGAACTTTACCCTCTAAAATGGCAAGCCATTTTCAATCTTTGAGTTACACAAGTAACTCCACCTTGCAGGGTACTAAACTTGTCAGTGGATGGATGAATGCTATATTATTTATGCTTCGGGTTATGAAAGAGAAAGTTGAAAGGGAAAGGCAGTTCCAGGCAAAAGAGCAAAAGATTTGAAAAAAGGAATGGCTCATGTTTATTAGTGGGAGCGTGTGATGTATCACAAACTAAGCAAACTGGTTTAGCAAAGCCAAGATTCACAAGATAACATAGGCT